TACAGCTATCCAGCTGTTTGAAATAGCAAATAATTTCATTTTGTGGTATTTTGAAGACCTGATATTATGCGTGACGTCATAGTAAACATTTCCCGTACAAATTAGGCCCCGCCTCCTTACTGTAACATTAACTGTGCTGCGAATTCTATTTACTTTCACTTTCATTTTCCGTTATGAAGTTGAGATTCAATATTCATAAGTGTTTTTGATGCTTTGAGTTTCTCCTTGGGGATATTCTCACCAGCCTCTTGAGTGAAAAAATTCTTTTTGTCTCTGAAGGACATCCAATCAGAAGCGGGTTTCTTGGAGAAGGCATTTCCACTCTGAGCCTCCTTCTGGGCCATGATCCTACTCCTAGGATCACGATACACTTCCTGTGATCCTAGGAGTTATTTCTGCTGTTTTGTAGGATACATGATTTTGCTGTGGGGTGCCACTTGAAAACATTGTCCTGAGGGGGGCATGATCGGGGGTGGGTGGCTGACCGTATGGAGAATGGGGTTCGTTCTGATCAGATCTGGATGACTGATATGAGGACTGGGATGCATAATAAGTCCTATTACTCTCGTTGTCTACACTGTATGTGTTAAGGGTCTCTAATTCTGTGTTAAATGACGATTTCTTAGGAATAGTTACTGGCACATATCTCACATTAAAATTGTTATTGTTCATGTTACGGAAGCCGTATTGTATTTCTGGGTTCCTCTCGTTTTGTCTGTTGTGGACGTCGTAAGAGGAGCCCCTGACGGGGGGAGCAGGTGCCCCCTACTGGGAGTGGGCCGGTAGGTTGGCGTACTGTTGGTTATAACCCGGGGGCTGTGTTTGTAGCCTGAGTGCCTCCAGACGCTGCGTCTCCTCCCTCACGCGGAGTTCCTGGTCCCGCTTTTCTTGCTCCCGTCTCTCGCGCTCACGCATTTCTATTTCTCGATGTTCTACTATTTTCTGATGTTCCTTCTGCCTCTTGTTAATATTTCATTAATGGTTAAACAAAGTGAATAAGTCACTATAGTATTGCATATAAAAATGTTAAAGTTTTTTAATTCAGATTGCTTGTAACTTGTATTATACCAAAAAAAAAACTAAGTATTTCGGAATATATACATTAAACTTCAACACTAGGGACTACAATTTAAAAGTATCCAATATATCTATTTTAGTTCCTTAAGGTAAAAACCAAGGATAAACAGTCTAATTTTGATTCCTTTACTTTAACCCTTTTCTAAAACTACTTAAGATTGTGATATATTAGTTTGTTTCTATTTCAAGGATCATAAAGCATGGCAGAGATAGATGTGAAGAAATTATTTTTATTTTATGTCGTCGGTACTTGTGGTCACTACCTGAAGCGAATTTTAAAATCACATTTTTCTCTTTTATACTATGGTTCTGTCCTTTGGTGAAATGCTGCTTGGTCCATTATTTCTGCTTCTTTCAATTTCTAACTTCAATGAATTTAAACTCGACAGTATTAAAATATCTTTTTGTTTTGGTACTTTTCTTATTATTCCGTTTCTTTCCTGTACATCGATTTTAGGTAGTTGTTGACAAAGTTGGTATATTTCAGCACTTTTCACATCAGAGTTGTGATCATCTGAAGGTGGCTTTCTTTTAGGATACGATGAGATTGCTTGTCATAAAATCTCTACAGAACTACTATTGACCTATATACCCTGTGTAGAACTGGCCTATACATAGCCGAGTAACAACTTTGTCAAAGCTGCCTTTATACAAAGGTCCGAATGCTCTGAGACTGTAAATATTCCTGCAGCTTTCAAGTCTACCTTATAACATCTTTACATTATTAAAATGAACCAAAATTTACTTCTTAGCTTATACAGAAATAGTCGTTTAGTACAAATATTTCTTCACCTTGTTGATATACAACATGAAATTAAATCATTATATCCTTGTTATTAATGCTATAAAAAGAACAAGATTGTGTCAATATACAAATGTATTGCTTTGCATCAGATACATGTGTATGCAAGTTAGCAGCTATATCACCATGGTAACACATAAAACATTTCCTGACTAGATGTGACAAATAATGGGTAAAAGCCGAAAAGTCACCCATTTCAAATTTAGTTCCCTTTCTTTTCATTAATAAGTTCAAAATTTCAACATATTTATTAGTGTAGTGATGAAAGTTTTTTTCTCCTTTTTTCCTCTTTAATCTGGCGTGCAAATGTTAAATAGAAACAAAATGCAATGTCAGTATTTATTTAAATGGAATGATACAATGGAACTACAGAGAGAAAAATTGTCAACAGGAAAGCAAGTGTAAAATTAACAAAAGCCTGGGCAGGATTCAAACCATGTCCAGCCCTGGTCTAGCGGTCAATTTGTCACAACGAAAAGATACTATCTCTCTGTCTGAATTAAAAATAAGGAATTTATACTGGAAATAATCACAACCATTCAACTTATCACGGAATCTTGTAGTAAATTATAAAACGTCAAAATATCTCTACAGCATCAGATGTCTTACACCATACAATGACCTATAGCAGAGAGAGATAAAAATACAGGAATAATGGTACATATATAAATATTACTAATATCAACAGTTAGAATTGGTAAAAATTTTAATAAGTTCATGTTAAAATAAAAACCAACAACTTCTACATTAATTTTGTATAATATAAAAATGAAAACCATGAAATTGTGTTCTATGGAATAAAAGTAGGATAATATATCTTATGATAATTAGCGAAATATTGGCTTTGCTGTATTTATATGAACGATGAGTGTGCATGCTTTGGATAATGGTTTCTCAGTCACAAACTTGTTACAATGCTAACCTACCCTAAAATGTTGAAAATACGCCGCGGCTTATTTCAAGTTTTGGCAAGAAGCGGGGACTTATTTTCAAAACCGGCTAATTTTCAAATCGCGGTTTATTATTAATGTTATAACCCTGTTTACGCTGGTATTCCTCTTCCTTACGTAATTTTCGTTCCTGTCTCTATATATAATTACGTATATTCTATTTACACCTACCCTCTGTTTACGCTGACTCTATATATAATTACGTATATATTCTATTTACACCTACCCTCTGTTTACGTTGTCCCTATATATAATTACGTATATATATATAATTCTATTTAAACCTACCTTCTGTTTACCCTTGTATTCGTCGCTCTCGTAATTTTCCGTTCCTGCCTTTTTTGCGGTCTCTGTTGTCTCTCTTCTCTCTCCAACTCAAAAATTTCCAGCTTCCTCTCCAGCCTGTAAAACACACGTCGTATCATCAGCTGATAAACTTATTAATCAAATACTTCTTGTCAAACTGAGGTCCCGTATTGCAGCAGGTTCTGGTACGAAAAAGATTCCTCGTTGCTCAGTGGCCCTCAGTGCCGAGAATAGGGCAAAATTAACATACAAATAAACATACAACGTACAATCAATCTTCAATTCAAAATAATCATGATCAAAAGGTTTCATTTGCTTATGTAGTACCAGAGGAATTTTCTTTCTTTCCTTTTGTTAGTTGTGCAAATGTAAAAACGTTTAGTAGTTAGCATTAAATGAAATAGCAATGAGAATACTGACAAAATAGTCAACAGAAAAGTAGGTGTAAAATGAGCAAATAATTAGGTGTAAAAATACCAAAAAAGCAGATGTTATTACATAAACAAAAGCTTCGGCCGGATTTCTAGCATGTCTAGAGCTGACTTGGGGGTCAATTTATCGCAACACGAAGATATTTTTCGAAGGAAATTAAAGACAAAAACTTTAATCTGGAAATAACCACAACTATTTAATTTATAAAGGAATTTTAGTAAATTATAACACGAAATGAAGTTTGAATGAAAAATGAAATGAACAAAAAATATAAGATTGAAAGGCCAGAATGGATTTAGAAATTTTAATAAATTCTATAATATAAACTTGAATGAAACTTGTAAGTATAACCTCAGAAGTATCAAATTTTTTCGTATGTGAAATAGCATGAAACACTTATTAAATTGGACCGAAAACGATCATTTCTGCCTACTATAACTTTCATACCCGGGTAACTTCACAATATCAGTGAATACTTGCTCCATTTTCGGAAATATTTTTAATGTATCCACAAAACATGGCGCAATTTATAACATAACCTTAAAAAAATATTTTATTACTCACTTTATCATTCCAAGAAATAATTGAAGTTCTGAGTAATCTAAGGGTCATATATCACATTCAATATCTAAAATGCTGACTGAGAAAAGTTGTGGTGTAGCAGAAAAAAATGTCACTTTATAAGAAAATTGATACTAAGTTTTGTTAGCCATAATTTTGTACGTTCTCTAATACGAGCTTTTCTCTAAATACTTGCTTTACAAATTGAGTCACACTTGATCACCCGTCTTCTTTCAGTTTACAGTAAGTCTGTGTTGATATCCAGAAGTTCTGACAATTCGAACTAATGAAGTTAACTGTTATATGTAATATCAATGCTAAAAGAATATAGAATTGACGTAAATAAGATGACATTAAAATAACAAAATCATTAGTATATCTTTTTTGGCAACTTTCTTGCTAAATATTAAATATTTTGCTTTGAGATTACTCTGATGTATTGATATTGATATTTTTTCATAGCGGAGGTCATACTATAAAGCTTTATCGATCAGTACACTACGTTATGCTACGTCCACTTCTCAATGTAGTAACTTTAAAGATACATGCTGCAATTCTATTCATGAAATAAACTTATAAATATATGTTGTAATACTTCGCCCACTCCCCATCTCTCTCTCTCTCTCTCTCTCTCTCTCTCTCTCTCTCTCTCTCTCTCTTAAATCACTCTAATATATTTTGTAAAAAAAAAATAAATAAAATTAGATTTTGTGAACGGTATTGTTTAAAAGCTGTGTTAGTTAACAAAACTGTTTGTAAAGCAAAAATAAAGAGATTTCAGGAGACTTTAAAATTCATGAATTAAAATATATATACTAAATATATATTTTCAAATGTATGCTTATACTTTAGAACTAATCTCTCTTGCATGAAAATGATATCACCTTTCACAGTAATGATGAGATTGCATTGTTAACTTACTATATAAAAGTAAATTCATGGTTGTACAGCGTATAGAACAATATGAAGTCTGTAATCCAGGTCAGCTTGTGTGTTGTCCTTATATCGGTTTACGCGAAAGGCGATGAAGTTCCTCCGTCATTCAAAGGTATATTATCTACAATTTTCATACAATGATTCAGATTATTAAAACAATTGTTTTTCAAAATGTATAATCTTAAATTTTTTTAATTCTAAGGATAGATTACAGCGTGTAAATACTTTCGTCAAATTGTAATATCAAAGCTGTCATGTGGATATGTATACATTCATACAATTGATGAAAGAGGTTGATGTCTCTTACTTAACATTTTTATAAAACAATTTGTACATGAGAAAATTAAACTATAATAAAAATATATTGTGAGAAAAAAAGGTCCGAACTGCATCTTTTCTTCTGTGTTCCAGCCAGATATATATTTTGAAAGATCCAAGTCAACATAAATTAAGAACATTCAAATCCCACTTCATTTCTTTATGCATGATAATTAATAATTCATAAATTTTTTTTTTAAATTATTTCAAAAATTTTTTTTTGTAAATATTGCAGCAAAACTTCATCAACACCTTCAAAGTTCTCGGTGGTTTTGGAAACTGGCCGGATCCCATGTTAAGACTGTACATCCTGTTTCCTTTAAAGTGAATGTCGTCTCTACATATAATGTGACAAAAATATCTAAAGGAATATTTCAAAACGGTACATTTTGTGTTTTTTTTAGTAATTTGTAATTAGTGATTATTTCAAAGATACTTTAATATCAACTTTTAACCTCAATTGCAAAATAATCGTTTATATTACTTTCTCAATGTCTATAAATTCCTTTTGTTATAACGTTATCATTGATTTCCTGTACTATAGATACTAGTACTTAATAATTTCTCAGCCTTAAGAAATAAGCCTCGTCCTTTTTTCAAGCAGTACCTTTTTTAAGGAATTTGCATTACATATTCATGTAACATACAATGTATCAGACTGCTTTTTCAGGTAATAAGTACAGAGACTGTGCAACCATACTCAAGAAAAATCCAAATCAAAAAAAGGAAAGGATGGTGTATATACAATTTATCTTGATGGAATACAAAAGAAGAAAGTGTACTGTGACATGACGAAAAAAGGAGGGGGTTGGACGGTATGTAACATATAATAATAACATTCTTTTTTGAAATGCAAACGGGTTTGTTGATTTCACGTAAAAGAGTTCTAAGAGATAACCTTCTTAAATGTTTCAGGTAATACAGAGAAGACATGACAATTCTACAGATTTTTACAAGACGTGGTCAGAATATAAACAGGGATTTGGGGATCCCTCTAAAAATTACTGGATTGGTAAGATTTTAGTATTTTGTATAATTTAAGGTATAAAGTTTCTAATTAAATGTAAGAAGTCAGAAAGTGTGTAAAAAGTAACTTGGAAGTAAACGACAAAGGCACAATTTACCTATTAAGTAATGCATAGACATCCCTTACGTAATATTGCAGATATTTATATTCGATCCATTGTGATATTCTATTCTTTTCAAATGATATTTAAGAAGTGGATTAAAATTTCGCAGTAAAATTCAAGAATTTTATTTTCTTATTAAACAGCTAAGTATAGTGTTGTATGATGAAATAAATTACTGTTAGATGCATCATAGGAACAAAATACATGCATATAGATTTAGAATAAAATGACGCCTCTTCGTGTTCTTAAATCCATGCAAATAAATTGTTTTTTATTTTTATCAATTTAAAAAAAAAGAAAGATATTTTAAATCATAAAAAAACAGTTGTTATTGTTATTGCATATTGATTGCTAACAAATACTATTTTGCCACAATAAAAATTACGGCAGGATTCCTGATGAAGGCGGGGGCGTGATTTAGATTTTTATTACACCAATACGCTATAAAACCGCCGAAACACACTGCTGAGAAAACAATAATGTTAATAAGCAATAACTAATTCAAAACGATGTCAAAAGAAAGAAAAATAAGAAAAATCACAGCACTGTGCCGGGTCCTATAAATTTAGAATTGCGTGGCTGATGGGCGTTGCCTATATGCACAACATTTTTCAAGTCAAGACTTCCTACAAAAATAAACACTGTATTCTCTCTCTTAAAAGCTAAGTTTACGCTATATATAAAACATGAGCGACCCAAAGAGAGGGGGGTATATTGCCTGCATAATGTTCATAAGCAGAAAAGGTAACTGTAAGATCAATAGAGCTCATAACTCCATAAACAGTTCCTTATTCAATTTGCTAAATACTGCGAAATCACTAATTTTCGAGGGGGTTAATTTTCGTTGTTTTGAAGGTATGAACAGACCCACGAAAATATAACAACCACGAAATGCAGTTCACATATATCACTGCCAAAAAGTTCTTCAAACACGAAATCATATTCTCCTGAACCAATAAATTTTCCTCAAACCACGAAAATTTGACAATTCAAATTTATGTGTTTTTACAGAACCCGGCAGCTGCAAAGATCAGTTTTAGAAATTGATGCATTTTCACAAATAGAACCTTGATATCCCAGAACCCCTGACCCTGAGGCTATGAATTTCAAATAAATTGAAAGACAACTCTTGCTCGTTATTTTTCTGCATTTAGTTTGTCTCCTAATCACACACGGGAGCAGGGAAAAGATTTTCATAGAATAAATTCATTATACCCCCTGCTTTAAAAGTGGGAGGGTATATAGTAATCGGGATTTCCGTCCGTCCGTCTGTCCGTCCTTCCGTCTGTTACGCTTTATCTCTTAACCACAACTCCTCTTATACTACTGAGTGAAATTTAATGAAACTTTCAGAGAATCTTTATTACATATTGCCATTCTGCACCTCCTATTTTCCTTTTTTATTCGACACGTATTTTAAGTTTCCCATAGCAAAACATGGACATTGTCATTAATGTTTACCTATGACGTTACATATAGAAGCTTCTGGATAACATTTGATAGGACGAGTTATTCCTCCTTACACATTACCGTAAAACAATATATAGCAACAAATGGACATTATGGGAGTCGGGGGGTATCATTTATCTTAAAAACTTACGACTTTTCAACTTTATACACAACAATTCCCCACGACAAATTAAAATCCAGGCTTTTTGATATCATTGACAGCTGCTTCTTCAACAAAAATGGAACTCGTAAATTTACTTACCTCGTCATTGGTCATTTGAAAAATTATTTTGTTAAAACAGATTCTGATTGCACACATAAGTACTCTGAGGTTGACATCAAGAAGATGCTTGAGTTTCTGATTGACAATATCTATGTGGTTTTTGGAGACCAGGTATTCCAACAATCTATTGGAATTCCCATGGGTACAAATTGCGCTCCGTTATTAGCAGACTTATTTTTATATTCATATGAAGCAGAATTTATGCAAAATCTTATGCGTGAAAAGAAGAAAACACTTGCTGTGGCCTTCAACTCGACATTTAGATATATCGACGACGTATTGTCAATTAATAATGATAATTTCCATTCCTACGTCGACACGATATATCCTGGTGAACTTGAGATTAAAGATAACACAGAGTCCGACACTTCTGCTTCATACTTGGATATTTTACTTGAAAAAGACACTAATGGTAATCTAACAACCAAGCTATATGATAAACGTGATGACTTTAACTTTTCTATCGTCAACTTCCCTTACTTATGCAGCAATATACCTTCATCACCTGCATACGGAGTATATATATCTCAGTTGATTCGATACGCAAGAGCGTGCTCTACGTATGAACAATTTCTTAAACGAGGTAAATTATTGACAAGCAAGTTGATGAAACAAGAATATCAACAGTCTCGTTTAAAGTCATCATTTCGTAAATTCTATGGTCGATACAATGACCTTGTCAGCAAATACAATTTATCATTGAATGAAATGCTGACTGACGTTTTTCATACAAATTGTTAGTCCATTATTTATACACTGAATTGACCACGGATTTTTTCCGTTATTTCCTGATTATGACAACGAGCACACGGCGGGTGTGACCGGTCGGCAGGGGATGCTCACTCCTCCATGGCACCTGATCCCACCTCTGATGTTTCGGAGGTCCTTGTTTGCTCTGCTCTTATTTTGTATATTGTTTAATGGACGTTGAGATTGAATACTGTTCGTTATTTCCATATCCTTTCTTAGTGAGCTCATTGCTCTGAAACATGAACTCCTGTTCATTGGGCACATGCATATAACAATTCTCATAATTCTGCAGGAGGGTTCATTGCTTATTTCAATCATACAAACAATTTTACTGATAAAAAACAACATGTAGAGAAGACTTTAAAAGATTACTTTAGTTTTGATGGATGTAGACCGATAGTTAAGCCCTAGGAAAACGAAATGAAAGTATTTTGTCTATAGATGTTATTTTCATTCGTATGTCGACTGAATACATCCCTGTCGACTTAAAATAAAAGACAAATTATCCCCCCCCTAAAGAAAAAATGAGAGACAGATTTTAGTACTGGAGTAAGCTGGTCACCCCTTGAGATAAATGGGAAATGATCTTAATGCTGAACTTGACCTTGCATCTTTTCACAAGTGGACAGACCTGATTTGATGTTAACCCCAAATCTCTACCCAGAGTTATTTTTTGCTTCGCTACAACACCTGCCAATATTAGTTTAATTCCCTTTAGCAGGTTCAGAAAAGATGCTGAAAATGTTTAATCGTTTACATAAATGTAATGTATGAAGGATGACAACAGACAAAGACAAAAGTCAGCTGATTGGCTCGAAGGATCTAAATGAATTCCATCGTTCATCGTTCAAGTTTTTTTCTCAAACATTTATTTCACATTTTCATTAAATATTATAAGCAAGAAAATGGCGACACAATTTTACAGTAACTTACTATTCTTTAAGGAAATGACGCAATTTATGAGTTGACAAAGAACAAGGATCAGGAACTCCTGGTTGAGCTACGAAGATTTAATGGTGACAAAGCATACGCTCAGTACTCCACATTTTATGTCGGGAACGAAGGCAGTAAATACAAACTCACTGTGTCTGGGTATTCAGGAAATGCAGGTAGGTGTATCCATCAATTAACTTACATAATAGTCTAATGCTAACCAATAATATACATTTTTGTCATCAAAAGTGGCAAATTCTAAAACTAATGTCCAAATAACTGTATCTCACTTCTATTCTCAATGACCGTGTAGTTTAGGACAGCTGTAGGCATCGAAATCAAGTTTTTTGACTTGCCTAGGTAGCCGAGCGGTCTAGCGCGCTGTTCCTGTACTGCTAGGAGACAGATTCCGAATGTCGAGAGTTCAGCCCCGGGCTGGGGCAGAAGTGGGTATCCAAAAAAATTGAATCTCTGTGTTCTTTCTATATTAATACTTCTTCACTTAGGGCAGTTATGTTAGTTTAAGAGTTGTTTTAAAATGTGCTTTATAAATAATAATTAATTTCATTACAACGTGCATTGGAAACAATCATCTGTTAAAACGTGTATGTAAATAACTGTATCTCACTTCTATTCTCAATGACTGTGTAGTGTAGGGCAGCGCCGCGAGAATTCCATCGGCATCGAAAGCAAGTTTTTTGACTTGCCTAGATAGCCAAGCGGAAGTGGGTATCCATAAAAGAAGTGAATTTCTTTGTGCTTTCTATATTAATATTTCTTCACTAAGGGCGGTTATGTTAGTTTAAGTGTTGTTGTATCTGTTGTAAAATGTGCTTTATATATATTTTTAATCATTTTTTATCGGCACTAAAGTTCATTATCAACTACACATCTTAAACACATGTTTTACATTAAATTTTGAATGTTTTACTAGAAAAAAAACTTTAATGAAGAACTAATAATTTAACTTTATTATTAAACGTGATGACTTCAACTTTTCTATTGTCAACTGCCCTTATTTCTGTAGCAATATAACATTTCCACCTGCACAAAAAGCCCATGTCTTCCAAGTGATTCAATACGCAGGAACATTCAGTTTTTTAAAAGAGGCATTGTATTGCACAGTTAATGATATCAAGAATCCCATTTAAAGGCAACATTTTGCAAAGTCTATGTTCGATACAATTACCTTAATTGTTTGCATATACAACCTATCGTTCATTTGAATTATTTTCACACTGAACTGACTAGAAATTTTCTGTTTACCCTATCCGGACAAAGAGCACCCGGCCGTTGTGAGAGGTCAACAGGGGATGCTTACTCCTACATGAGACCTGATCCCACTTCTGATGTCTTGGAGGCCCGCGTTTGCTCTAGTCGATCACAATTGGTTATGTTTTATTGGCCTTCGTGTGCGATTATTGTTTGTTAAAATCACATTTCATGCGAAAGTTTCGTTAGCAATATATACTCGTACATATACATCGACATATTACCAGTAATCAAACTATAGAAAACTTGTTTATATCATCAAAGCGGTCTCTGATATACAGATATATATGTTTATGTGGATGTAAGCTGTGTTATGTGGATTAAGTAATAAATATACTAGTAAATCTGAATCCTTTTTAGCTCACTTGGGCCGAAGATTCAAGTCTTAAAAAAAGGGGGGGGGGGTGTCCATTACTTCTAATGCTTCACACCATTGACTTTTCATACCAACAAATCAATTTAACATATTTACCTGGGGGTCTGCGTTTTCCACGGGGGGGGGGGGGGGGGGGGGAAGGGGGCTATTTGTTTTTTTGTTTTAATATATAAATTTAATAACCTTGCAAATTTCGAAGGGGGTCCTGGCCCTCCCCCCGACCCCCCTCTACATCCGCGCATGTTGGATATGATTTTTATCCAAAGAGTTGTGTGTTTTATATCCCTGAGCCTTGCTTCTCCTTAGAAAAGGGTGTGTCCCTTCATTTGAGTAACTATTCCTCTGTTGAACCCACTTTTATATTTGAACTTTTCAATGCTTAACTGATTTATGCTTCTAGGTTTTACATAGCTAGTTGCTCAGGTGAGCGATTTGGCCCCTAGGCCTCTTGTTCCCCGAAACATGACTGAAATAGTGCTGAATCGGCTTAAAGAATAGTAATCAATCAATAGAAACGTGTTTTTACACTTGATGGTAGAAAAAGTGTTTTAAAAAACTCACGTTTTTTAGCTTCAACAATAGTTTTACAATGAAAACAAAATTTATTTTCTCTAGAGGTGACAGGATTGCAGAATATACCCTTTTCAAAAAACAACAGAAGCGCACTTATTCTTGATTTATTTCTTATTGCAATTAAGTTCTTTCTTAACTTTAAGAAAATAAATACTGTAAAGTTGAAGTCATAAATATGGATCAACAACTAGTTTTTTAACATCATAGTTGAATAAATATTAAATGAAAACTTACCACACCTGGTGTTGTTAATATGCTAAGTTCTGCAAAGGATTTCTTTTTTAAAACGTTTTAAGCTAAATATCAAACACTTTTTCTTGCGTGTCAAAGTTTACATCCTCTGTGTTGATTTGATGCAACTTTACCAATATCTTTTTAAATAGTCATAAAACATTCATCCCTGCATGCAAGAAATCAAAAAATTATTTTATATATATATACTTTACATTCACTCAATTCAACTCAATAGTTTATTTTCTCAAACTGCACTACAGCATAGAGAAGATACAAACATGAAATATGTACAATACAATTCAATACACCAACTAATGTTATATTGCTACATGGAATTTCCAACCCAAAATAACACAACATTCTTTATCTTGATCCTTGTTACTAATTGTTCCTAATTTTCCTTTTAAGCAATAGACTTTAATCTTATCAATAATCCATTCTAAAAGGTGTTAAATTTGACTTTTGACAATGATTGTAAATTAAGCACTAAGAATAATGGCATGAGTAGTAGTAACTATATTGTAACAAAACAATTGAGACTCGAGTGGTAGTCATAATTGTCCCGATAAATACTGTACTTTAACCTTATCAGTACAATGTACTCTGTTGTAGGTGACAGTTTAAAGTATCACAATGGTTATAAATTCACTACTAAGGATCAGGATAATGACAGGCATGGTGGTAACTGTGCTAGACAATATCATGGAGGCTGGTGGTACAAATACTGTTACACCTCTAACCTGAACGGACAGAACGCCAAGTCTGCCGTGACTGATACTAAAAGCATTGTATGGCAGGGCTGGAAGGGTAATGAAGCCCTAAAAAGAACTGTGATGATGATCAGGCACAAAAACTAAAGAATTTTAAAATGCATAATAAGTCCTGACAAAAATGCATCGGTCGTACAATAAACCTGCAATACACAATGTCTCTTTTGATTCATTACTACCTTATGTAAATCAACAGTTATATAGGTCTACATCATATTCGCACAAAACCTTCCTCTGTCCCTTTGAAACTTTTAAATAGTCGTCTTGAAAAGGCCAAGGAAAGTCCTATTTTTGATACCTCGACACCAGAATATAGACTCGGATCTGTTATGGATATTGCTTATCATAGGCTTTTTAAACCTGCACGTTTTGCGGAAGAAATTGCAGCTAAAACAATCCCTCTTTTCCTTAAACCTCAATATGCCAATAAAGGAATTGACGCGGTTAATATAAGTAATATTCTTAATTACAAAAGGGTCCAGTCTTGTATTCCACTATATTTCAAGTTAAAGACTACACCTTGTATTTCCTACAAATATACATCGACCATTGCTTCCAAACTTTTCAATTACAAAAAACTTTACAAGGCCTGGATACAGAGCATCTGAAATATGATTCTCCATCGTGTTCTTCTTCACCCTATAACTATAGTTCTGCTAGACACGTTACTACAGGTATCGTAAATATATAGTTAATAATGAGGACCTTAGATCATTTTTTTAAAAGGTCCTAAATATGGATTCTGTTGAAAATTACGCCAGACGATTGGCCAGATATGAAAAAGAAGACGTTGACACCTTGTCAGAATGGATTAAATGTATGAGATTCACGTTAAAGTCACGTATCAAAAGAATGAGGGGCAATTTGAAAACAATCTATCCTTCTGTGTTCAAGAAACCGGAAGTGAAAAAAAGAATTAAATAGATTACATGATCATTACATACTGATCCCTGCCGACAAAGCAGGTAACAACAGTGTCCACATTTGTCAGGTTCATTTTATTAATTGTATTCTAGAAGAACTTGAATTTAATTCTACGAGTGGTAATCCTACTTATACTCACACTTCCCTCTATAAGGAAGAAATTCTTCAAAATCATATTTCAGTTTTGGATATTTTTAATATTCCACAGAGCCAAAATGAATTTGAACTACCTATATATGTTGGAATCCGAAACTTCATAAGAATCCTTACAAACAAAGATACATTGCGGGTTCAGTAAATGCTCAACCAAACCTCTTTCGTTACTCCTCACTACGATATTGACAGTAGTGAAGGAAAAACTTCAAGAGTATTGTGCTATGTAACTATAAATTCAATAAGTGGTGTGAAACAGATGTGGATACTAAAAAATTCCAAAGAACTTTTGGACAATTTGAAATCACAAGATTTTACTAAAATCAACAGCTTAAAAACTTACGACACTTCAACTTTATGCACACCATTCCCCTAGATAAATTAAAAAATTGTGATATCATTTACAGCAACTTCTTCAACAAAAATGGGACCGTTCACGGTAGCTCAGTCGGTAGAGCGCTCGCTCCGTGATCGGGAGGTCGTGAGTTCGCATCTCGGCCGCGACCGACCTAGTCGTTAAAATGGGTAGCAACTGTCCCTTCGCCATGCGCTCGGCACTTTGAAGTGAAAGTTGCTGGTCCTTCGGATGAGACCTTAAAAACCGAGGCCCCGTGTCAGCGGCAGGCGTTGGCACGATAAAGATCCCTCACTGCTCAATAGCCCTGAGTGCCGAGTAAAGGTCAAAATTTAAAGCCCTTCACCGGCATACGGTGACGTCTTCATATGAGTGAAAAATTCTCGAGAGGAACGTTAAACAATATTCAATCAATCAATCAACAAAAATGGAACTCGTAAATTTACTAACCTGTTCATTGGTTATTTGCAAAATTATTTTGTTAAAAAAGATTCTGATTGCACACACAAGTACTCTGAAGTTGACATCAAGAAAATGCATGAATTTCTTATTGACAATTTCTATGTAGTTTTTGGAGACCATTTCTTCCAACGATCTGTTGGAATTCCCATGAGAACCAATTGAGCTCCGTTGTTAGCAGACTTATTTTTGTATTCATATGAAGCAGAATTTATGAAAAATCTTACGCGTGAAAGGAGAAAACTCTTGTTGCGGGCTTCAACTCGACCTTCAGATATATTGACGACGTATTGTCAATCAACAATAGTAATTTCCATTCCTACGTCGATACGATATATCCAGGAGAGCTTGAGATAAAAGATACCACAGAGTCTGACACATCTGTTTTATACTTGGATATGTTACTTGAAAAAGACGTTAATGGTAACCTAACAACCAAGTAAAAGTAGTTGACATTTGTTTTCTAGTGAAAAAGTAACTAGAAACAAAACTCTTACACTTAATATGTATGACAAACTTGACGGCTTTAACTTTTCTATCGTCAATGTCCCTTACTTATGCAGCAATATACCTTCATCACCTGCATACGGAGTGTATTTATCTCAGTTGATTTGATACGCAAGAGCATGCTCTACGTATGAACAATTTCTAAAACGAGGTAAATTATTGACAAGCAAGTTGATGAAACAAGAATATCAGCAGTCTCGTTTAAAGTCATCATTTCGTAAGTTCTATGGTCGACTCAATGACCTTGTCAGCAAATACAATTTATCATTGAATCAAATGCTGACTGACGCTTTTCATACCAATTGTTAGTCCATGATTTATACATTGAATTGACGGCGGATTTGTATGTCACTTCATGATCATGACAATGAGCACACGGCTGATCCCAGATGTTTCGGAGGTCCGTGTTTGCTCTGCTCCTATTTTATTGTTTTATGGACCTTGATATTAAATACTGTTCGTTATCTCCATATCCTTCTTCATCCAATTAAAAAGTGTACTCCTGTAAAAATAGATAGCATGAAGAATTATAATGTTATTTACTAATATTGTTTTTTCTTTCTTGATTGTATTGGACAGTTATTTCTCTTGAGATATTTGTAACATTCCTATTTCTTATGAAAGGAGTTTCAAAAGGCCTTCGATGTTTCATTTGGGCAGTAAAACAAATGTGAACGGTGAACGAACGGTGACCGAACGGTGAACGAACGCAGAGCGAACGGTAGGTGAACGATGTGCGAACGCTGAACGCAACTTGGTGAACGATGTGTGAACGGTGAACGGTGAGTGAACGCAAAACGCGAACGGAGCGCGAACGCGAGCGCAAAGTGAACGGTGAACGAACGGTGAACGCAAGATGAACGATTTATTCGGAATGCCTCCGATCTTTTCCTTGCATTGAGATTATTCTATCATTCTAATTTCAGGTGCTTAAATATAAATAAACAAATAAATAAATAAATAATATAAACATTTTTGTTCTGTACATATATGTACCTATGTTTTAAATCGATATTTTTATAACACGATTTTATTTGCCGTAAAACATGTGTATTTGTTTCTGAACGCGTACGCGTGTAGATTAAATATAGAATTAATCTATTTATATAGTAAATATGCTTATTCTTTTCACTAATAAAATAATGTGGACTTCTGAAGATAAAACTACTACTTAAAGAATGAATTAATTACATTTTACGCGGTTGAAACATCCATACATGTATTTCTGTGCCAAAGCGATTCTGAGTAAAATAACGGATTTTTTTTTTAAATTCACAATTATTTGTTGACATTGACTGTTGTCGTACTGCATAAAAACTCTCGTTTTATTTAAATTCTAATGCAAAATATTCTATATCTATGTGCCTTTTATATTCTTTTATGACGATTATTTGAGCTAACTTCTTCATGTATCTGTAGACATTTCCAGGCCGTGATTATACTCGGTCAAGATGTTGGAAATAGGCATTCAAATTATTTTAATAGATTAAATTTTCAAAACTAAATAAGTAATTTGCTGTCATAGTTTTTATTGAAAAGAGAAATGTACGAGAGAGAGAGAGAGAGAGAGAGATAAACCCCTCGAGTCTCAGATATCTGTTGCATTCAATTAAAATTCTTATTATTTTTCCTAAATATTCCAAGCAGTAAAGGTAACCTTTTTTTTAGATAAACAAATCCATTTGACAGTAATCATTAGCTTTTATTTTCCATCATTAAGATCTCATAGCTCACAGGAAGTCCGTGCTGTGTTTGTCCTGTCAATCAAAATAATTCGACACAGTGGAGGTGTGGAAATCCCGTTTCACCGAACATGCCGCAGGCAAAGAGTCACTTAGTATTCTAAGAAGTTTTAATATTTTTCCCTATCATTTCTAGATCTTATTTTTGCATTCCTGCAGAAAGAAAGAAATAATTGGAATATATACTTGGAAAGATTAAGTTTTAAATTGAATTTGAAACATATTCCCTGCCAATTTAAAATACTACTGTCGGCACAATTTTATTCTATAATACTAAAGTATCCGTCTAGGGGGTGTTCTTTACAAGTATTTATTCAACAACAATATATACAAACACAGTAGATTCTGGCCCGGGTCGACTTCCCGCTCCGCTGCTGTCCCAGACACGTCCGGTCTGCTCGGCATCCAGGTGTAGAAGAAAGAGTGCGACTATCCCGCCATCTGACGTAATACAGACAGTAAGTCGTACCACGGGACAGTCGCACAGATACTACACTCCCCCCTGTTTTCTTTGAAAGGCTGGAGTCTACCACAGGAAAAAGGGTCTGGAACCATCTCCATCGCTGGGGCTCTGTAAACACTCTCCCGGGCTAACTGCCCAAGAATAACAAGTGCCGGAGCAAGCTCCAGACAAAACCACCTCAAGAATTTACACAAATCCTAATCACAATTTTTCCTCGTGGTATGTCCGGGATAATTCCCAGTCAACCTCCTACAACTCCTGTTTAACATTCACCGAGTGGGCCAAGGTCACCAGGCCCACTAACAACTCAGAAACTGACACCACTTACACCATCAGGCTCTGGAGGGCAAACTAGCCCTCCGGCGTCGCCCACGCCTCCGCCTAGGTCTGTACAAGCGAGAAGTACTTTTCTCCTCTGGTGTCGAATCATCAGACGACCAGGGACTACCTGAATCATACGGGGATGTCCCCATTTCTGCAACATGGTCCATGGTGACCTCTACCTTTGGGGTTAGACTCCTGCCCATACAAGTCGGCAATCCCCAAGAAAC